GAGAAGATGAAAGGGGAGGGGTCAGCTGAGCCTCAGCTCCACCCTGTCATGCCTCATGTGCCCGCCTTCCGCAGCACCTCTTGTCCCGCCCTGCAGAGCGACAGAGAAAAGACGGAATGCAAAAATTAGATCGTGTTTTCTTCAAAAAGTCACCTAGAAGACACACAGTTGAACCCAGAAGAGTAATCACAGCAATAATAGGTGGCTGCTGGATCAACTAATGTTCTCTACAACCCCCACACACTTCACCCTTTCAAAGATTTCCTTTAAAAGCTTAAACAACACTTCWCATCCTCACATCTGTGGAACACCTCAGTTTGAACATACATATGCAGATTTCTTGCTTTTTTTAGTTATCCTCTGAAGATAGTATTTGCACACAACTTTCTCTACACACAGGAAATCACAAGYTAAAAAATAGGGCATGAGAAAGAAAAATAAAGGAGAGGATAGACTTCCTGTCCCAAAATGCTTAAGTAAAGTAGTTCATCGTGGGTTTCAAGTTAACTCTTGACCTCGCTGCTACATCTCACTCTCTTGCCAAAAAAAGCTAACTATACTGTACGAGCTTTAAGCTGTCTTCCTGAACAATAACAGTATCGCTTCACTTCTTGGCAATCRTCCCCATATGAAGCAGAATGTTTCCCCCTCTTCAATTCCCAAATCTGTCAGGATCCAAAACCATAAACATGTAAAGTGTAGGATGTAAGCGTTTTGAAGATGAGAGAAAACGGGAGGAAACAGGAAGGCTGATACAGTCCCATCGAAACAAGTGGGAGAAGTTCAAACAGGGGCCTTCCAAAGAAATACATCAGGCAGATAATGTCAGACAGAAGCAGTATCATCAGCAGACTAAAGGCATTCATTGTGACAGCTCCAATAAACCACACATTTATGCTGGATCTGAAGTATGCAGGGTGCTAAGTATTATCAACACCATTAATATCAGCAATCTTTCAGATGGGAAGTAACTATTAAAAAAACTACATTTTACAATCTAAACTGAAGACATTTAACYTAAATTTACATTTATCCTTTTAGYTGACRTTTTAAACAAAACAACTTCCAAGTGCAACACATTCAAGCTTTGGAACAGTAAAAAAAACTGGTATAAAGTACTAAATTATAAAAACAACATACAAAAACAAAGAGAAGTGGRCTGTAAGTGAAATTTAAGGATGTTTGATGATAACTTTTTTGGGAAATGAGCCTAAAGAAGTTTATTAAAAGTAGAGGTTAATTTCTTTAAATATCAGGAACCTGCAAGTCCTCTCAAACCTATATTTGTACTATATCTGTCCTTTGGATTTAATATGTATAATCTCAGTTRGTATAGTAATTTCAACTATGAGATTAAACCTTTTTGAACAACATAAGCAAAACTGGGTGTGTTGATGCAAAAAGAAAAACTCACATTTTCCCATAAACTTGACACTTTTTCTTAATTCTACATTTAAGCTTTGCTGTGCGAAACCTTCACTGCTTAAACATTTAACTTAATTTACAGCAAATTAATTGCAACAGAGAATAATGAACTTCTGCAATAATCTCCCCATGTAAACCAGTTAACCAGTAATCAAACATACTCATAGCAAACTATGAAATTGAGAAGGTTATGCTGAATTACTGGTGCAGTTTGATATCATTTATGCCTGTATTTTCCCAGATAAAGTCTGRAATGTGGGTATGCCCTCTCTAACAAAGTGGAAGCCTGAGTCACATGACKAACTTGTTTTCAGCCTCTTCGGCTGATTGTCATTGGTGAAAAAAAAATCATATAKTAGTTGGAAGCTGTTCACTATTTTTGCTTTCAACTTTTACACTCAAGGACACATTAACCATCAGTAAATATGCATATTTTGTTTTTTACGTTCTGATTTTTATTCTTTTTTTTTTTTTGACTGGTCTTCATGACATTACAATAAGTACCTTGTTTCAGTTTCAAGCCTTATGAGTCCACCAGTTGATCAGAACACAGTTTAAAATATATTATGCGGTTCATTTATTGCTCAAACCCTTCTTTGCACTTTAGTGTATGTGACTATAACGGTTCCCACACAAGCGCAGGAAGTTAAGCAGTTTCAACAATCAACTGCTTTGCTTTTTACGTTGGCCAGTTTTGATACGGTCAGTTTCACTKGGCGTTGTGTGACAAAAATGTCTTAGCTTGCAAATTCTTTGACATGGGAAACCCAAAAACAGAAGTTTAGAATGAGTAAATATGACAGTATACAGTGTGGGGAAACAGYGTTTAAACTTCCTTCTCGGTTTTCTTGTGGCTTTTTCTTTTCTACAATATTTGTTGCTCAGAGAAAACACGCCTTCCATGGTTCAGTTTCTTTATTGTCAACAAAACCCTTGGAGTGCTGGAGAAAAACTAGTTTGCTGATTTTGTTGATAATAATCAAAACCCACCCTTATTATGACAAACAGAAGACATAACAGAAAAGGGAGAAGTTTTCAAAACCGTTTTTTGTCTTTGTACACAAAGGCAAACAGATGTGGGAAAGACATTTTCCCAAGTAGTCGCAAGAAAAAAACAACCCAAACTAAATTATTCTCAATTTTTTTAAAGACAATATGTGACGCATCATAGCCAAGTGAGGATTAAGTAAAATTTGGTCAAAATGACCTAATTACATTTTGAGATTCCTGGCTTTAAAAGCTACATTTTGATACCTGGATCATTCTGATATCATAAGTTGATCCAGATATATGATTTTATTTGTCTTGTTGGTTACAATAATACATTAATATTTGGTCTGAATCCCAATTTTATGTAATTTAATGAGGATTATTTTACATCATCTTAAAGAGGAAACTTCAAATTATATTTGAATATTGACATTTCCCAGCTACAAAGAAACAAAAACATTTCTAGCTCATAGGGAAAATCTCAAAATTTTAAGGTGTTTTTGCTCAGGTTTTTTGTTGCTACTGCTCAAAAAATGCTTCAAAATGTTGATTTATGACTATATTTCAGACAATTCATTCAAATGATACATTGATAAGGCCTTTATTCATTATGTTTTGACAAAAGGCAATCTTTGCAAACATTTTAATCAAAACACTGTATCTGCCTATTTCTCCATATCCCAATTTTTAGACTTAATCCTCGTTTCGATGTGGTGGGTCACATATTTAGGAACACCATCGTATGAACAAACCTGAAAATTTTCAGCTATCAAATTAATAGAATTACACACACCATCAACAATAATACACGGGGTGTAATAATAGACCCCTGTAGAGCTGGAAATAAAACTCTACTTCTTTCCTATAAAGCATAAGAAAAAAGATTTAATTTCTACAAAAGTACTTTTCTTTTGCCTGTGTTGTTAAAACTGTCTATGTGGCATTTCAACATTTTCTTATCAGTGCAAATGCAGTTATACTACACTGGTATTGTCATTCTGGTGCAATATCAATATTGCAAAATACAAGAAAACCATACACAATAGTTCTCCAAATGCTTCTTGTCAAGAATATATTGATGTCCACACCCAATTTAGATGATAGTGGCTGAGCTGCTAAAGCAAACTCAAAGTGTTGTGATGATGTTTTTTTGTAAAATCAATTACATTATGTCTTTATTATTTCTATAGGCAGTAATTGACACAACATTGCCCACACAAATAGACATAGCTTGCACAAGTGAGCACATTTTCATCTCACCAGCAGACATGTTGAATCCAAGYAGGGTTTCTATGGACAGCTGTGGCACTGAACTAATCATTACACTGTTTTTCAAATTCAAACACTTGAGTTTCATTTGCAATTTTCAAGGCCCCTATRATGGCAGAGGGGCAAGAGAGGAGTGAGGGAAAATGTGGATTAATCACAACTGATAGAGTCATCACAATATTTGACAATATCACTAATCCTTGACATTGTGCAATCCTCTTTAGATCCATAAAAACTGTGYTTCAGCCCTACAACAGGCAGAATGAAGCTGTTCCACATTTCACTTCTGAAATATAATCTGGTTTTGAATCACACTGATAAGAAGAAGCTCTGAGCTATCATCAGTTCTATCACACAAAAGATGGGGGTGAAACATTTATCACACAAAGATCACAGCCGTGTTTCACACATCTACCASCTCTGCTGTTAGTTCCTCAGCATTTTAAAGGTACTGTCACTGAGTTCAGCAGATGGCTGAGGGACAAAGCACAGAGGACACAGCAAAAAGCACACTGTGGACACCAYTGTGTTTTGTTCACACAGTCACACTGAGAACGACAGGCGAGGCTCTCTGATGACTTTTTTTTTTTGGTTTGAATACGTGGATTTGAAAATATCCATCAGTGAGGGAGTGGGGATTGACATACGGGTCAGCAGAAATAATTAAAAAAAAAAAACAGAAAATCTTGTCATCATGAATATTCACTCACTGCGCTTTTGTATTTACACAATGATGCATGAGATGTGAAGAGCAAATGTTCTCATAAATTTCTCGACTGAACGGCATGTTCATCTTGTAAAAAGAAAAATGAATTAAGGTTTAAAATAAAATAAATCAGTTTACAACAAATCCCTAAAAAACTGTCGCTGTAAATGCACACTTTTTGTTTAATTATTAAATATGAAGCATACAAAGGACTAGAAAGAGACTATTTCTTACAAGCAGCCTGTGATTGTACGTGTGTGTTATATGTTTGGGTGTGTGTACAGTTTCTTAAGTGTGTCTGACTAAGCTGTAGGCCTCTGCAGGTCTGCCTGACACAAAGCTCGGTGTGGCTGCTCGCCAAATGCTGCTTAGCTACCAAAACACAGAGCTACAACAATACAAGCCGGAGCTCAGTGGGATGAAAATGCTGTGTGGGGTCACAGACTGTAGCTGCATGCTGCTAACAGCACGAAGATCAACTTCACACTTACACAGACCCTCATAAAACTCAGTGAAACAAGCCCGGGTGACACCTGCCACTCAGACCGGCTGCCAGCAGAGCTCATCGTAAATAATCTTGCCCAGCACACAGCGAACCTGCACCGAAACAACATTTCTTTTCAGGATTTGGGACTTTTAGAATGAGTTTTAAAGTGTGGGAMGCTTGGAATGACAAGCATTACAGTAAATTAAAGGCTGA